AAAGTCTTAGATAATAAAGTCTTAGATAATAAAGTCTTTGATAACGATAATAATGATGAAAACACTATGTTACAAAATTTTTGTTTATGTTAACTTTTTAATGTTACTTACATAATTTTGGGATGCTGAATGATATCATTGGTTTTGCTCTATTATCAAAATTTTCTGAGAAAAAGGAAAAATTATTTTTTATTTCAAAGTTTTTATAAAAAACTTCGAAATATACTTAATATAATAGAACAAAAGGGTTTTGCATAAAACACATAAATATGTAGCAAAAAACACATAAATGTGTAGCAAAAAAACACATGTATGTGCAATGCATTTATAACATTATATATATGCTGATTTTGACTATATTTATGTGTATTTTCAGTTTAACTAATTTCAATTGTTATATGACATGGTGAATATGTCTTTGTCCTGACTCATTCTGTTATGTTATATTCTATATTAGTCCAACACAAACTAATCATAAAATTGTCAGTAGTACAAAATTCTTTACTGTATATAATGCTTTCTTTGGTATGTCTATGGAAGATTAAAGTAAATCTTGGGTACCACACTAAAGTTGTGGCAGCTGCAGATCAAATATGGAAGGATATCTTCCTGGAATTCAAAAGTTAATACCCTTTGCAATTTCAAGAACATGGAGAGAACCATAATTTAAACTGTCATTTCTGCATGGTTCATATTTCAAACTATAAAAAGCTGAAAAATAGGCTAAATATATTTTATAGAATCAGCCTAACCACCTTTTATTAAACCAGTTCCACACAGTGATGAATTGCCTATTTCTACTCCACCTCAATCCAAAGAAGTGGCAGCAATATCATTCTGAAAAAGATATACCAGATCAGTGGTGACTGAATTTCAGGAAACCAAATGATTTATCGCATTTTCTTAATCAAAAAGAACTTGATGACTTAGTACAAGATTAAGGTCTCATTAAATCAAATGCTGAACTTCTGAGATCACGTTTAAAAGAATAGAACTTATTATATCTAAACTGAAAAACCTCAAAATATTGAAAGAGACATAAAACATTTGCATGCTTTTAGGTAGTATCAAAATCACTGTGCTGTTTTCATGATGTTTATGGTCTTTTTGATGAAATTAGCATTTTTCACAACCCTAAGAATTGGAGGTTTTTCATTGACAGCTCAAAATAGTTTTTTTCCATAACATGAATCAGTTTCCTTTAGTCTCTTTAGCTCATTCTATTCATCTAAAGGAAGGTTGCAAGAACATTAAATTGCTGCTTGAATCAACTATTCAACTAAAAATTAACTAAACCGTTTTAAGTGTCTTACAGTTATCTTATTACAGTTATAATGGATGTCAATCAAATTTAATAAAAAGATTTTTTTATTACACAATAAGACTTATTTTTATTACACAATAATTCTTATTTTATAATAAAGTCCTATATATTATTAATAAATTCAAAATAATTATTATAATAAATTAATAAAGTTTTAAATAACTACTGTAAAATCTTATCATTATGATCAATTTGAAATTTATCATTATGATTAAATTGAAAATTATATAGTTTCAAATTCAAAAATTACTTAACTGTTTATAAAAACTTTTTTTTTAATAATGTATGCATAATTAGTTTTTATTTTAAAAAAATTTAAATTTCCTAACATACAAGTAGTTAAATACTTTATAAGTACCTGCCATTATCTATACAGTTTTATTTTGTAAAGTAACTACGATTATCTTCACAGTTTTGTATCTCTCTTTTTGTAGCATTAAATAAAAAATCTTAAAATTTCACACTTAACATTTCTTTTCCTCAGTATTTTGCCTTTATGATTGTTCAGTAATATTTATGACTTGTGCTCAAGATAATTTGGTAATTAATGTTTTTGCCAGGTCTGACCAAAATAAGTCTTTTCTCCAAGCATTCAGTCACATATAGGCTGTGAAAATTGGAAGGAGAGTTATTTTTTTTTTCCTATTCAGCAAAATAAAACTAATAAATTATATTGAATTAAAAAAATGATATTAAATAAAGTGTTATATTTAGCCTTGAGGATAAAATCTAGCATTGGCAATGATATTGATATTTTATACATGTAACTCACAAATAAATATTTTAAAAAATTTTCTCTTAAGGAACTTCGTTTTAAAGACCCTTGGTGTTAAAAAGTCCTCTACTACTTGTTTTTTATATTGTGTCTCAATTAAATAAAGATTTAAATATCTAACTTCTTCACTGTTAACAAATGATCACTTCTTGAAAGATAAATCACAATGTTCGAAAGTGTATGCAATGACAGAGATTCAAAGGTTTGCAGTCCACCTACAAAAAATAGAAAATAAATATCTTTACTTATATATACAACAATTTTCACATTCATTGGGTAAAGCACAAAAAAAACTTACAATATTTAATAGTTTTAACAGAATGCAATTGAAGAGAAGCTGCAATAAGTTTGAAAGGAATTGGAAAATTAAATTTTTGAACCAGCAAATTTTCCATAACAATCTGAAACAGATAAAAAACTTAAAACTTCAAGACATTAAAACCTTTCTATAAAAAAACAGCATGTGTGTGTTTTTGTGTGCTTAAACTTTCTATAAAAAAACAGCATGTGTATGTTTTTGTCTGTTTAAACTTTCTATAAAAAACACCATGTGTGTGTTTTTCTGTGTTTAAACTTTTATTAAAAAAAAGCATGTGTGTGTTTTTGTGTGTTTAAACTTTCTATTAAAAAACAGCATTTGTGTGTGTGTTTGAGAAAGTTGAAAAATTAAAAAAATAAAAAATTTTAATTACAAAATATTTTGACATTTTCTAGATTTGATCAAAAAAAAGATAAATCAATAACTCAAGATTTTTTTTCAAGGATTAAACTTTTAAATCCCTGTTGGGATTTCCCTGTTGGCACTGATGTCAATGATCATGCTTAAATATCTAAAGCGCTTCAGTCAATATATCATTTGAGTATAATAATTTGGGTAGAGAGTATGTGTAAAAGGCATCTATTAAGGTAAAAAAAAATTATTAATTTTTTATTATTCTTTAACTTCGTCTAAAAAAGTCTTAATTTAAGTATTTATACTTAAAATTAAAATGAGCACTAACCCTAAAACAATAGGTTTTGATATTATTTGTAGTGACAGGCAGGTGAATCAAAACAAGGCATTAGTTTATTACATCAGCTCTAAATGTACTAAGACATTTAGTGTTTCCGCATTAAGTCAAAAAAGTAAGGATGCGTTATCTTGCATAAAAACAAATGTATGTCCATAGTTGACATGTCCATATGGCATTAACTAATCAGAGAGTGTAATAATATAGTCTTCAGCTGTTTGTTTCCTTTCTAAAAACCTCAATTCAGATAATCCAGCAGCAGAAAAATCCACCACAAATCCTGACACCACCACCACCATTTTATCTGGATAAGAATGTCTTGGGCTCTTTTCAGAAGTCATGCCAATAATATTGATATCTGTCTGGACTATCAAGATTAAATTTATTCTTATCAGAGCAAATAATTGCGCTCTAATCAGATGGACAAGACAAATGTTTGTTTGCATACGTGATTTGTTTCTCCATGTGATGTTTCTGCATTGCTGGCGTTGACATACGCTTTCCATCCCTCAGATGTTTGGCTTCATGTAACGTTCTTTGTATTGTATGCAATGACACATCAATATCCAGCTGAGCATGTATCAATCGGGCACTATAGCAGGTATTTGAAGCCACTTGCAGTATGTGGCGTTTGTCACGCTTGGTTAATCTCAAAGAATTGGATTTTGTTTTAAAATATTTATCAGAATCCTTCAAAATCTTCTCAATCATCTTCTGAGTTTGCTGTATATGTTTCAATATCTCCGACGTTGATACATTGGCAGCCTTGAATGCATTGATCATAGTAACTTCTTCAGTATATAACATAGTTTCCCATCGTAGTCCTCTGTAACACACATGATTAGTTCACATATGATGGCCCTTTGATCTACATTAATATACGTATCACTTACCCAGGTTTGGTCAGGAAGGCATGCGATTTCACAGCTTTATATGACCACGCAAATAATATTTTGTTTTGACGATTCAACCACAGTTTTAACATTTTAATAAAGCGCTGAAAATTTTACTTAGTTATAAAGAAACTAAAAAACAAACTTGTTTTGAAAAAAAAATAAAAAATCTTCTTCAAAAAATAATAAAAAAAAAAAAAAAAAAAATAGCTTAGTAATAAATAACTAAAACAAAACTAAAAAAAATAAAAACAAAACTTAACTAATAAATAATAAACATTAATACAATTATGTTTGAAATACAGGGTTTTGCAAAGTTATAAGTGCACGTTTGCACATTTGCAAAGTTATAAGTGCATTTATAAAATTAATTTTAACTCTTATATTTTAAATATCAATGGAAAGAAAAGTACAGAAAACAATTACAGAAGAAACTAAAAATACGATTATTTCAATGAGAAATTGTGAAAAATATTCAATCAAGGAAATATCCAACACTTGTAATTTAACCCGAAATGCTGTTAGTCATGTTATAAAAAGTAGTGATAATAATATACCCTTCACGTCATCTACAGTAAAAAGAAAAAAAACGTATAAAATCAAAAATTCTATAAATACAAACATTGAACAGACAATATTTAATTCTGTGGTCTGTAACAATGCTGTAGTTCAAAAAGAAATTCAAATGCAAATTTTAGAACAACATGGTAAAAACGTTTCAATCTCGTTTGTTTCCCGTAAATTAAAGAAATTAAATTTCACACAAAAAAGATCATTCCTCAAGAAAGAAACACCATGGAAAGAATAAATCAGAGATCATTTTTTGCGGCAGAAGTTGCTAGAATTGCTGATTCAAACTTAGTTTTTTTAGACAAAACCAGATTCAATAAACATACAGTGCGCTCATATGGCTATTCTCCAAAAGATACAAAAGCATATTGACAGTTTAGGCAAATACAGTACAGAATGTTACCCTCATGTGCTTAATTTCCAATTTAGGAGTTGAATGTTACCAATACAAAAGCGGCGCATACAATACACAATCATTTATTGATTTCATCAACAACAAACTAGTACCATTCTTTGCAGTAAATCCAAATGAAATTCTTATCCTAGATAATGCAAAATTTCATAAAGCAGCTGCAGTACTTCAATCACTAAGAGAAAAACATATTACTCACAAGTTTTTAGTATCATACTCCCCTGAATTAAACCCAATCGAAGAGTTCTTTTTAATGTTAAAATCCAATTTCAAATCCACGAGAAATGCTAATCCCGATATGACTGTTGAATTAAACATTAGGAGGAAACTTTTTTTAATGACGCTTTTTTTTTTTTTTTTTTTGGGGGGGGGGGGGGGGAGGAGCGTTTCACAAAAATGACAACTGAGTTACGAACAAAAAAAACATGATTTTTCTTTATTATTTGCACATAGCGAAACCCTTTTAAACAAAGTAAAACTTCCAACGGTTTTTTAATAAATACACACATTTAAAACAAATGAGGAAAAGTGAAAAAGAAAACAAAAAATAATTGACGAAACAAAAAAGAATGGACATTTTTTATTTAAAGACGGAGGGAAAATACATAAATAATTTAATGTAAAAAAATCATTAGCAGCGAATTGTTACTTTATTTAAAAGCATTTTAATAATATAAAAACATTAGTAAAGATCAAAGTTTAGTTGTTTTTTTTCTCAACAAAATCTTTTTGACTGTTTTAACTTAAATGATTCTTAAATAAAGTCTATTAAAGAGACTAGCATTGTTTAAAGTTGCTGCTTATAAAGTTTATATAAATAAAAAATAAAATTATTTATAGAAAAATTTTATATATTATTTTATTTACTAATTATATAATTTTACATACATTTAAATAATATAAATAAAAATTCATATAAATTAAAACGTTAACAGTAACTATTATTTTATTTAAAACCATTTCGCTATTATAAAAACGTTTCACTATTATAAAAACGTTAGTAAAGATAAAAGTTATTTATTTTTGATGTGATTAAATAATAAAATTGATATTAAATTTCACACTATGAGTATAATATATTTTATTAATTTTGTACTGTTTTTGAAGATATAGCAAAATCATTTGCTAAAAAATATAATCTTTCTTGTACTAAAAAGTAGAAAATAAACTTTTTAATTTAAATTTAATAGTTCAGTAAACTAAAGATTGACAGGTATGTTTTTATATAAATCGTGCGCAGACCTGTCAATTTTTAGTTTACTGAATTATTAAATTTAAATTAAAAAGTTTATTTTCTACTTTTTAGTACAAAAAAGATTATATTTTTTAGCAAATGATTTTGCTATATTTTATTTTCTACTTTTTAGTCTTTACAAAGAGTTAAGATATATTAGTATGAAACAAATTTTTTTTGTCAATAAAAGTATTTTTAAAAGATTTAAAAAAAAAAAAAATACGAACCCACAAGGAATCTTAGCAAATTTTAAAAATGAAAAGATGTATTTAAAAAAAGGAAAAAAGCAGAAAACAGCGTAAACATTCTTGCCTCCACTTTTCTTCCGCAGCAGGCAACGGCTGCCTCTCAATTAATTTTTAGCAGCAAAAATGTTCCACCTCCAATAGCATCCGCCTTTCTATTGACAGCCGCAGTCAGAGTTTCTTTTTAGAGGCAAAATATTTTTCAGGCTGACCCCAATAAAGAAAGGCAGAGGCCAATAGTAGCCCCCTCCAGTAAAAATTTTGGAGGCAAAACCATTTGGAGGCCGCCTCAAATAGCTTTGTGTGTATATATATATATATATATATATATATATATATATATATATATATATATATATATATATATATATATATATATATATTATATATATATTTTGTCAAAAAGATTTATTCGCCAATGGCATAGAAGTAAACTGTCCAACTTTTAACTTTTGTTTTGAATAATAAAACTACTAATTTTTTCTACTTAATTTATTAGTTTAAAAAAAAATTAGAACTTTTTAAAATACTGCACATAATCATATAAAATGAAATTTGATATCAAATATTTAACATTTGTTTTTAGTTTATATTTAATTGCATTAAAGCAAATGAGTAACTATTTTTCATTACATCTGCCGGCAGGAGGAAAATATTTTTGCCTCCAATTTGACAGCCGCAGCCAGTTAGGAGGCAGAAGCCATTAGAGCCGGCCTCCAAATGATTCTGTTTCCACAACTTTTTCTGGAGGGGGCCACCAATGGCTTCTGCCTCCCTAATGGCATCAGCCTTCAAAACATTTTGCCTCCAAAAAATAACTCTGGCTGCGGCCACCAATAGAAGAGCAGAAGCTACTGGAGGCAAAAGAAAGAACGTTTTTCGGCTAAAAATTAAATGAGAGGCTGCCGCTTACAGACTCCACCTCCCTAAAAAGTCAGCCTTTCGGCAGAAAGTTACTTTGCCGACTGGGGGCATTATCAACCAATTTTAATTAACAGAAAAATTAAAAAAAAAAAAAAAGAAAAAAAAAAAAAAGA